TAGATTTCTATTGCTGTCTCTCTCTGGATTTTTGCAGTCTGTTAAATTTGTCATTATGCTCTTCTCATGTCTTCTTAAGTTCCTCTATTTCTTTGTCTCTGTATGCCTTGGCTTGTTCTGCATTTTACATGATCTCCTTCCTGATCTCTTGAAGAGTTCTGTGTATTAATCTTTTATATTCTACCTCTGGTAATTCCAAGTTCTCTTCCTCTGGGAAATTTCTTGATTCTTTGTTTTGGGAGCTTACTGAAGCCATCATGGTCTGCCTCTTTATGTGATTTGATATTGACTATTGTCTCCGAGCCATCAATAAATTAGATTATATTTATTTGTTTTATGTTTGCTTACTGTTTTCTAGCTTCTTGTTTTGTTTTCATATGCCCAAATAGGCTGCTCGTATGAGCTAGTTTGATTATTGGTGCCTTTGAAGCTCTGACGTCCTATCACTAGGTGGTCAGATCTGTTACTAGGTACGTGAGCCTGGGATTCTGCTTACTTTTCTTGTATGGATTCAGCTCAGGTGTCCTGGTCGTCAGTCACCAAGTGTGTGGTGCAGGCTTTCACCTGCAGTCTTAGACAGGCAAAGGTGTTTGGTGTAGGCACAGGTATCTGGCTGCAGTAGGGGGTCACATGCTGAGCAAGGTAGGGGGGCTGATGGCTGCCTCTGAGTGTCTAGGAGAAAAGCGTGTCCCTGTTCCCTAGAGCACATAGGTGGGTGGGTTTTTCAGCCAGACTATGGGCACACGGTGATGTTGGCTGTAAGGACTGGGAGGCACCACTTATTCTTGGACCCCTGTCACGGGTGGCTAGGTGACGTGGGTGGAGCCACCAGTCCTCAGTCTCCTGATGTGGGTAGGTGAAGTCTGTGCAGAGCAGTGTCAAATGTCATGAACCTCCCACTTCACTGTATAGCTGATACAGTGAAGTTAGGCTTCAGGTATATACTGTGTTTTACTGGGGTAATGAGGATGTACATGTTAAAGTGGGCCCACACAGGTCTATGCGGGGGTGAAAGGCTTTCAAAGTCCATGGAACCCTTATGCCTGTGCCTAGGCAAAGGAGCTGTGCCTACCCTGAGTTCCTGGTTTAGGGGAGTTGGCAGATTATGTTTTCTTGTTTGTTAGTTTATTCCCTCTCCAAGGCTGGGAGAATGACTCAGGGTGCGTGACGACTCCTACTTCTGGCTTGGGGGACTCGGCAATCACTGAAGCTGGCCCGGGACCCCGTGCAGAGTGGGGAGGGGACAGGTAAATGGGAGAGAGGTTTTTCCCCAAGGGGATATTTTTTGATCTGCATGATAGGTCAGATGCATGTACTTATGTTTTGCTGATTGAGCGCTGCTTTTCACTGGTTCTGGAGGCCTGAGTAGCCTCTCTGCTGCTCAGTCTCTCCTGATGTGTAAAACGCCTCTTGAGCACCACTGTTTGCCTCACGATGCACGCCAGTCGTTCTGGTCTAAAGGGTGTCAGCTCCCACTCAGTCAGGTCCGGCAACTCCTTGTTGTTTCCGAACTGTCTCTCCCTCCCCCTGCCACTCAATCTGATTCCTCAACTTTGCTTTTGATGTTCAGGGCTCCTAGATTGTCATATATAATCGAATCACTTTTTTTTGTTGTTGTTGTTGTAAGAGGGACCACAGGAAGTGTCTGGCTACTCTGTCATCTTGGCCCTCGATCAGTATTGTCTCTTGGCATGGACTTAACTTTTCTTGAATTGGTTAGATGGTTGCCCATTTAGGATAGCTCCAGATGCTACCTTTAAGGGAGGTAGCTGAGCACTTTTTGTTTATTGTTACATTGCCATATCTAGGGTCTCATCTTCAGGGCAAGCTGGTCTCATGTCACCCACAGAGGAGTAACCTGTCTTCTACAAGGGCTTTGGCGGTTGTGTGGGTGGCTGCTTACTGTTCTAAGCCACTTAAGACCCTGGATGCTATCATACGATGACAGGGCTCAGATGTCACCAGTTGGATAGCCAGGCACTACTGCAGATGTCTTCACCATGCATTCTAAATTTTAGAGGGTTGATTGGGAGGAAGGCCAGGTTAAAAGAAAGGAGGAAACCATTGGCTTAGGTAAGGACTCTAGTCAGGAAGCAGATGAGTTGATGGGAGTCTAACTAGTTTCTTTAAAGACATGATATACTGTCTGTGAGTTGTGGGCTGAAAGGTTGAGTACAGAACTGGGTGATGCAAGAAGAAAAGACAAAAACAAAAAACACTTGACTAGTCAAGAGAGAATGACAACAAAGAGGAGTGTAACTAGCCCAGATATTACCAGAGAGCTAACCTAAGATTTGATGTTGGGTAACCGACTGAAAATGTCAAACTGGTCATTAAAGTTGGGGTATCTTCTATATGGAGTCGGGTAGCTTTCTGGCAAATTTTCTTCATGCTTTTTTCTACTTTTCCAGTAGTATTTATCCAGGTGCAACAAGAGGTGTTAACAATGGCACATACTCCACCTAGTTGCGCTAACAGATAGTCAAGGGCCATTCAGTTGTGAAAACTATTTTAGCTAAAGACTCCAAGGATTCTTGTTGTGCTGCAGGGTTTTCTGCAGTGTCATTAGCTAGCTGTTCCATAGTGGCTGACATGTTTTGGAGAGCTCTATCTTAATTGGGCTACTCTGACAATGGAGAAGAATGACCTAAGAAATCTGTACCCAAAGCTGGGGTATTTTTCTATTGGATTGTACCATCCTTAACAAAAACAAAAAAACCAAACAACAAAAAAACCAAACCCGTTGCTGTCGAGTCAGTTAATTCATTCCCCTGGGATTCTAAGACATTTAAATCATGAGTCCAGTGTTTGCTTTCATCATAAGAATAAATGTCTAAGGGAACTCCTAGAAGGCCTAGAGTACCTTGGCCTTTCATGCTGCATCCATCTAAACAAAGTAGTGCCCAAGCATAAGTTTCATTGCTTGGTTTTGGTTTCTTTTCTCTGGGTAATTCGATTCTCTGCATAAAAATACATATCCATAAGGAGCACAAATCATGCCTTTCCTGGTGTGGGTGTGTCTTAGTTATCTAGTTCTGCTATAGCAGAAATACCACAAGTGGATGGCTTCAACAAACAGAAGTTTATTCTCTCATAGTCTAGTACGCTACAAGTCCAAACTTAGAGCATTAGCTCCAGGGGAAGGCTTTCTCTGTCGGTTCTGGACGAAGGTCCTTGTCATCAGTCTTCCCTTGGTCTGGGAGCATCTCAGCATGGGAACTGCATGTTCAAAGGATACTCTTTGCTCCTGGCACTGCTTTTTTGGTGGTATGAGGTCCCCCCTCTCTGCTCCCTTCTCTTTCCTTTAGCTCTTGTAAGATAAAAAATGGTGCAGGCCACACCCCAGGGAATCTCCCTTTACATTGAATCAGGGATGTGACCTTAGTAAGGGTTTTAACAATCCTGTGCTAATCCACTTTAACATAATCTAACCTGGCCTCATTAACCACCAGCAGAGATTAGGATTTATAACACATAGGAAAATCACAATCACAAAATGGAGGACAACCACGCAATAATGGGAATCGTAGCCCAGCCAAATTGATACACATATTTTTAGGGGACACAGTTCAATCCATGATAGGGTGTCTGGGAAGGGAATGTTTTGATTGGCTTGTTTGAGTCAGTGTTCAGTTAGGGAGTTATCACAAATGTACAACTGTCCCATCTTCAGTATTTTTTTAAGTCTAATGCAAAAGGGACTTTCGATCTACCATTTCTCAGGCAATGAGGGAAGTCATAGTATCTAGGGATTTCTCCGTGGGTGGAGCCCCCATAATTAGGTTGACAAATAAGGCCACCTCTTCGGATGTATCTCACAATGCATGTTAAGGTTAAGCGTTAGGTCAAATTAAAGCATGGCACTTGAGGTGCAGCTACTAATCCAAAGGGATGCCATAGTTTGACATGAATGGCTTTCTTAAAGGTGATATTAAGGTTAATGATAGCTGGGGATACAGAACTATAGTTTAATACAGGGGATGCTAATGGATCTACATTTTCACGTACAGCTGTTGGGGTGGAATGGCAGATCCAGTCAGTATTCAGTCGCACTGGCTACTGATTGTGCTAAACTTACAAAAAAAGCATTATCTTTCCATGTGCTAGGTGAAATTATCAAGGACAGAAAAATGAAACTTAAGAAGAACTTCGTAGTGTAAAACTTGATTACCAGATAAGGAAACCTAATTGATACAACAGAACTAACTTAAAGGCAGTAATGAGTAATCACGTCAATAACTTGCAGTAAAAACGAGGGGATTAGGTGCACAAGGAAACAATAAAATGTTAAAGCAAGGTACAATACCAAAATGATACAGTAAGCCAATAAAAAGCAGAATGATTATAATTATGAAGCAGATTGCAAAAATATCAGTTGTCTGATATTTTTGAATATCATGAGAATGAGTATTAACACACTTCATTTAAGCAAAGTGCAGCTTGGTTAGGAGCCGTGTATTCTACATGCCTGGGAAGAGCTATTAACTTTATCACTGGTGTTTAGTTGTATTCTTTCAGTGTTCTTTTCTAGTAAATTGTTTCCTATCTACATATTAATTTTTACTCTTAGTGGAAAAATGGTTTAAGATAAACTAACTGAAAACTATTTTTTATGGTTTTTCTAAATGCAAAGAATATATGTAAACAGTTTCAAAAAGTTGGAATTGCTATTTGTGAATGTATATAAATGTGCCCCAAATGTGTTACAGTAAATCTAGAGCAACTTTAATGCTCCTTTTTTAGCTAAGGGTCTGTCACCATTGAAGTCATACTAATCTTCAGTAAAATGTGCCTGAACTAAAAATTGACCTTATGAACCACCTCTTTTGTTTAAGGTGAGCAGCTTTGTTTTGATGAGCTCAGTTTGATATGATATAAGCTGGAAAGAAGAATGTCTTGTTTGAAAGTATTTATGTTGAAAAAAATGTACTTTATACAAAAATCCAATCCCTGGAGGCTTTTTTATTTATATTTTTTCATGTTTTATTTTATTTCACCAGAACACTGCAGTAGACTGTAAAATAACGTTGTCTACAACTGGAGATAAACACTTTGATAAAAGTCCCACTAAAACAAGGCACCCTCGGAAAATTGACCTAAGAGCTCGGTATTGGGCATTTCTCTTTGACAATCTTCGTCGGGCAGTCGATGAAATCTATGTAACTTGTGAATCAGATCAGAGTGTGGTGGAATGTAAGGTAAGGTTTGCTTTGATTCTCTGTAATCCATTTTAACTCAAATTTTCCAATTTTTGCTACACTTGAATTATTTACCTCACTTTGTCTAGTGTTAATAAATTCTCTATACTTTTTATTTCATTACTTCTTGTTAGAAATTGTTCTTTCAGTCAGCATGCTGAAGTCAGTATTATGCTTCAGACTTTTCGTAATCTTCTTGTTTTTTTTTAATTACCTAATTATGTATTTTTATATTCAGTGAAGGATTTGATGGGAAGCTGTCTTGATACACGGTGCTGGACAAGGAATCAAAGGGCTGTATATGTATAATTATAGGTATATGTATACCAAACCCATTGCCGTTGAGTCTATTCCAACTCATAGCGACCCTATAGGACAGATTAGAACTGCCCCATAGGGCTTCAGGGAGCAGCTGGTGGATTTGAACTGCCGACCTTTTGGTTAGTTGCCGAGCTCTTTCACCGCTGAGCCACCAGGGCTTCCTATATGTATGCACACATTTATGTAATTATTTTTTAAGCATCTTTTATCTGCATTCTCCATTGGTGCTGTAGGCGGCACTAGCGAGATTTTTACATTCTTTGGTTTCATGTTTAATGTCTTTAATTGGACATTACTTCCTTTCCATAGAGATAGTTATCACTCTCTTAATACACTCTAGTCGGGAAAAGTGAGATTGATTGCCAACCATAAACAGTCTTGGGTGGGATTGCAATGTCATTGTAAGGTGTGTTTTCTAATTTTAGATAACCTTGTGTTTGTAATAGGATATTAAACAGACACAGAATGGTCTGTCTCTGAAATTTCACTGAAAAGTCTGACCTTTTAGTAAATACTAATTATATACTATGTTACTTTCTACTGAATAAAATTCTTTTGAAACTAACCAGAGTGGTACATCTTCATAGAAATATTAAAGAGGTAATTTCTGTTTCTACGATGAATATGGTTCAGAACCCTGGAAATCATTATTTAACCTTTGAAATACATAAAAGGTCAAAGAAATGTTACATATTGAGACAGCAGTTGCATTTCCTTTTAAATTGGAACCAGCCAAATTAGGTTTAGACTAGCTTAAAAATATGATTCAGCAGAAGCCGTTTTCAGAATGAACCGTAATCGAAATCATCCAAATGCATGGTTTGGTTGTCACAGTTATTATTGTTACTATTAGCATGTAAAAACTTTTTATGTTTTAAGAAAAACACCTTTTAAGCAAAATCAGATCCTTGGGGTGTAATGATTAACATGTTGTGGTTGAAACTACTGTTGGACTTAATTTGGGGTTATAGTTTCTTCTATAAAATGAGCATGCAGGAACATCTCTAGGTCAGCCATGCGGAGTCTTTGATTTTGTGGCTAAAAGTAAAAAAAGAAGATTGGTTGAAGAAATCAAATTTATTTGTGAAATATGTACTACTTTATAGAAGTGAAACTGACCAGTTGTGATTATGTTTCTGTGATGAGCAGAAATGATTGCACCTGTATCTGCCACTGCATTTCCAGCAAGTCAGAACTGGCCATAACACAGTGTGGCTTTTATTTCTGGCTCTCTCACTCATTCACCCAAAGCTTTGTGAAAGTTTAATATTAGAAATTTGTTGTATAAGTTGTAACTAGAAGGATGGAGAAGGCTTTGACAGAGCTGGTGGAGTAAAAATATGTTCTCCTTTCTTTGTACTATGCCAAAATGTTCAAACACTTACGCTGAAATATAAAATCTGGGAGCTTAAAGTTTATTTTCCTACTAAACTCTACCCCTCACTCTATCCAGGACTCACAGGTGGAGATGTAGAAAGATACAGTTTAACATTTGGTCCATATACATTCTGGGCACATATTTAGAGTTCCTTTTTCTCTGTTCTCATCATCAAAGCATTTCCATCCATTGTTCCATTTGGCAATTACTTTTGTGAGATACATAACCCAGGGAAATTCCCCATTTTGCAGGTGGATTCAACTCTTGTTTTGTGGATGCACTGACAGGATTTATCACTATTTATGTTTTAGCCTTAGTTAAATAACCACAGTTTAGTTCTGGGCCTCGTCTGTAAAATGCAGTTAGTGACCCCTGCATTGTATAACTCACATGTTAAGTGTAGCATGATAATGAAAAGCACCTTTGCTGTTAGCCTAGAATTGCTGAGCAGAGCCCACCTCTGTGATCAAAAGAGGCTAAATTCCTCATTTTTTGAGATTGAAGAAGTGCCTGTTATGACATCAGCAACTTCACTGCGTCCTTTGCTAAGAAGTTGCATTCTAGCAAACTATAACCTTTATGCCTACATTTCCCCTGGCCCCTTATAAGGTGGGCTAGAGGGTAGGCTAGGAGGAGATTGTCTTTTAGGGAGTGTACAGTTAATGAAGTAGTCCCTGGGTGGCACAAATGGTTAAATGCTCAGCTACTAACCGAAAGGTTGGCAGTTTGAATCCACCCAGAGGCATCTCAGAAGAAAGTCCTGGTGATCTACTTCTGAAAGATCAGAGCCATTGAAAACCCTATGGAGCATAGTTCTACTCTGAAACACATGGGGTCTCCTTGAGTTGGAATTAACTCCACAGCATTGGAGTGGTAGGCATTTTCTCAACTTGTTCTCATAGAAGTTTGAGGTGGGGCCTGGGAAAATTGCATGTGAAGTTTGTGGGTCTTTCTGTCCTCTGGAAGAAGAGACTGGTGTCTTGTTCTCTGGCTAGATATTTGCTGTGCTGACTCATTCTGGTGCCTCTGAAATGTGTTGAGAGTTTTGGGGAATTCATCCTGAGAACACATTGTACTTTCCTTTTCCTGTTTCCCATTTCAACCTGGGGAGATGTGTGTTTCCAAAAGCTTGGAGGCACACTTAAATATAGAGACTGGTGCCTACATCTTCCTTGGCACTTTCATAGGCAGTGGGCTTGGCCTAGCAAGGAGATAGGATGAGAGTTCTCAGTGATCAAGTAAAGAAGACCCCTATGAGTCTCAAGGTTTATGTGAGGGAAGGAGCATGGACATCAGTGAAGATGTTGGAGTTATAAGAACTTTCTGTGGAGACATTTGGCTAGGAGAGTATATGCAAAACTCTGATGGAGATGGGGCAGACATGCTTAGGCAAAGGGTTTCAGGGTGAACCTGAACATTGCCTAGAGAACCACATATGCCACCTGTGCAGAGATCACCAACTACTACAGAGATCAGTAGAGGCCACTGACCTCAGACTGAGTTAGAGAAAGACTTGGGACAAATTTCCTCCCGGCAGCACCTGACTCTGTTGGCAGTTGGCATCACTGAAGGCCCTGGAGAAGGACTAGCTGATGACTGTAGCAGACCCATTGCTAATATCTGGTGAACTCTTACAAGTAGAGTATTGCTCTGCTCCCCATAGCTGCCACTTATGGCCAAGGAAACAAGTTTGTGAATGTCAAAGAGGAGGAAAGAGGAGCATGGAGGGAGGAAAGGAGGAGAGGCCCAGTGAGAACACGCCATGCTCCTGTCCACCACAGGCATCTGCTAGAGGCTGTGTAGTTCTGACTTGTGCTAATGAGGCAGGCTGTCCAGAGGTGGGATTTAAATACTATGCTTTCATAATTGAATGTGACTGAAAAATCGTGGAATTTCACTGAGCATACTTGGCAGGTTTTGGGGAAACTGAGTAGTTTTGGGGAGTTGAGACTTCTCAATTAAGTTAAATAAGGATCAAAATGAGATATGAGAAAATGTTTTGAATGGTATGGCATGCAGTAAAAAGAAAATAAACTTTATAATTAGAAAAATGGAGAGTCACAGATGGAAAAAGAGCAGTGTAGGTCCAGGAACAGAGAAGGAATAACCACAGAAGATAGAAAGAGGACCAAGACAATAGTAATGCCCCCAAAGCCATGAAAGGAGTAGGAGTACTGCAGAGGTCAAGAATGACTACAGTTGAGAGAAAGCATTTGCAATTTGGCATCCAAGAGAAACAAGAACAGATAGGCTCAAGGTGGAAATTTGTGGTAAAAATGTGAAATTCCATCTGATGGGCTCTTTGCTCTTTTCATTTTTGAAAAGGTATGAGATTGGAGGGTTGAGGAGTGTAGAAAAAGTCTGAGATAACTGTGATGTAGAATGGAAGGGCTAACAAAGAGAAATTACAGAATTGCCTGGAAGCCTTGAAGGTTGCAGTTGAGATTGGAGATTCTTCTTTCCTGTTTTTTCAGTTTCCTTATTAGGTTCTTTTCCTATCAGTATTAAACTTATTGTTTTCTTCCATCTTAAAAAAGCCGTAAGAAACCCCCAAATCCTCTTTCTACTTTACTTTTCCTTTCAACTATCCCCTATTATTTTCCTCCTCCCCTTCTTAGCCAAGTTTCTTGGAAGAATTTTCTACATTTGCTGCCTGTGTGTCATTTTTTCCAATGTACTCATCAGTCCACTCCAATCTGGTGTCACTTTATATCAGTCCAGCTAGAAAAGCTCTTCTTGAGGTTGTTGGTCACCTCTGTATTGCTGAGTTCAGTGGACGTTGTTCAGTCCCATGCTTGATCCCTGAGCAGCATTCTACACTGTTGACCACTCCCCTCCTCTTACAACACTCTGTTCCTTTGGCTTCCATGGTTTGGTTGGTTTTCCTCCTCCTTTGTTGGCTGCTACTTCTGTGTCCCCTTTATTGGCTTTTTCTTGTCCATCTGACCTTTAAATGTTGAAAGGCCATTAAGGCTCATTTAGGCCACCTTCTTTTCTCACTTTATACTTTCTCTGTCTGCAGTTGCTTCCATGTGTAATTAACCATTCATTTGCTGATGATTTGTAAATTTACATCTCGCCTTCGCCTTTCTTCTGATTTTCAGACCTGTGTACCCAGCTTGCCTAGTGGTATCTCCATTTGGATATCTCACAGGCATTTCAAACTGACATGTATAAAACTAAGTACATGATCTCTTCCTCCCACTCCAAATCTGGAGATGTATTACCCTTCCCTGAATGGCAGATACTACCTTTACCCGGTTGTCTGTGCTTGAAACCTGGGCGATATTCTTGGTTTTTC